TGGTCGTGCATGTGTTTGTGACGTGTCATCAGGTGGGACAGGATACGCAGTCATTTTCGATAAATCCTATCATCACTACTTGTATTTGATAACAATTCATCAAATGGTAGGCTACACACATATACGTGGTAGAACCCCCTCGGAAACCTTACCAACTTCGAATTCACTACAGGAATTTCAAGGCATGTTTATTTACAAACATTGCAGCAGCCGGACTTACCTTTTTCAGATCTTCATAAAATATAATGTAAAGAAGGCTAGGGTCCAATGATACACACACTTCTTCAAAGGAACGAATGTGATCAAACCATGTACTCCACATAACTGCAACGAAACGACTTTTTGAGAGTATACGGTAACGTCTAAAATACCTAACTATATAGTTTACTGAAATGTGATATGAGCGTACTGCGAAAAAGGCACATTATGTGGTGGCATGTTTCCATTTTAAATTCGTGTAACCCCTTTGGGGCTGAATCCGTGTTAACATTCCTGATACAGAAAGGACACCCTTTTAACAAACACCTGGTGTCATCACTGATTTTCAGTGAGCTAGTCGTATACATATCGCCCGTATATTTTTCCTTCTTAGCCGAACTTGATTTGTTTCGTGGGATAAACGAGACGTTTTTCCCCATCTTATATTATTGACATATTCAACAGTTACATAAGAGCAGTGGGGTGACTTTGGGCTCCCTTCACGAAGCAACCTTTACTAGGGTAACCTTAACTCCCATTCTTTAACATTGCATGCGCTAAGGTTACCTTAGTGACTTACGATCACCTTAGTGAAAGGAGGCCCCTGTGATTAAAGCGTTCGCTCGTCAGGTCGAAGATCTGGGTTCGATTCCCAACATGATTACATTGTGTGAAGCCCATTTCAGGACCCCTCCTGCCGTGATATTGCTGAAATATTACTAAAAGGGGACGTAAAACCAGACTCACTCGCCAGTTACATACATTTGTTACTAATGAATAGATGCAGCCAATCGTCCCACGAGCCCTCATACTTGTCCGCGGGGTAGGCGTGGTAGAAATAAAACCATGACACCGCAACGTCCCTGGGGTCACGGATGATGTGCACGGTCTTCACGTTCCGCTGTTGAAGTTCTCGGGGCAGGAGATGGGCCTGGACGTGGGTTGTGAGTATCCTGGGTGTGGAGAGACGTCGGAGGGACGGGTCGGCCTGTAGTTCAAGGACGCTGCTCTCCAAGGTGAAGGGCACGTAGTCAGCGGTACGGGACACTAGCATGTTGACTATCTCAAACAACCAATGGTGGCCTGCAACACACGCAAGATGTAAATGTTTTTAAATATTTAATTTTAAAAATCTTTAGGAACCCTGAAAATATCACTCATTGTTCTTCATTTTCGATATCAAAGTCAGGAGGTCGACGCAAATAAGACTCTCCCCCCAGCAACCCGTATTTGTCCAACATGACGACTAACTGAGCTAGTTAGGCTCAGTGCCGTTGTGTCATCGTAGTCACCGTGCCCAATCAAGACACTGTGGGAAAATGTGTCAGCGCCCTGGTGTGTGTGTGTGTGTGTGTGTGTGTGTGTGTGTGTGTGTGTGCGTGCGTGCGCGTGTGTTATAGGGACTAATTCAGGACAGCCATCGTCCAAATATTTAAAAAGTCCAAAACTATGTACTCAAGACATGTGAGACTTTATTGTAATATATATATGACGCTAACCTGTATTTTTAATCACTACTGTACATCCTTATCACTACCGCATTGTAAATTGACTTGTCAGCCCATTAATTATTGTATAAGACATTTATAACCTTCATTGGTAATCCCCCTTGGCCGTGTCTGCCATCACATCAACTGGTCAAGGAAGTGCTATTGTTTTTCTGTCTGTCCATTGATGAGTCGTCGCCTGTCCATTGTTGTCAAAAACTGTATATATACTTAGTATGCTCACATCTAGACAGTGAAGGAGTACGAGTTCGGTATTTGGACTGTCTGTTGGGACGACCACGAGCAGGATAATGCCGCTCGTAGGAAACGCCCTGGGGTTGAGCAGGTACTCCGCTCACCTCGCTCATGTCTTGTGTATTTGTTTGTCATGTACTAAAGACGTTTGAACTCAACTATGCCTTCGTCGTCATCAAAGCACACTTCATCTTAATTATGAGCTAATTCCCCAGTCGACGCGTAACCACGCGTTGACATTAAGGTCGCTATTGTGGCTATATAGTAGATAAGAAACTGTACAGGCACGTGACTCGAGGGACGTGGTAGGTTACTGCTGACATTTTATCTGCTGTTAAGCATGTCACTGTTTGCTCAATGGAAGCGTATTCGTGTCATAGTTCAAATAGAAATCATCACGTAGGTATCTACATGAGTGAGTGAGTGAGTTTAGTTTTACGCCGCACTCAGCAATATTCCAGCTATAAGGCGGCGGTCTGTAAATAATCAAGTCTAGACCAGACAATCTAGTGATCAACAGCATGAGCATCGATCTACGCAATTGGGATAAGATGACATGTGTCTACGTAGATGATATTATTTAGACTGTGGTACAGACACCCATCCATAATATTTCACAATTCATGCAGTGGAGAAGAGTGAGTGAGTGAGTTTGGTTTTACGCCGATTTTAGCAATATTCCAGCAATATCAGGGCGGGGACACCAGAAATGGGCTTCGCACATTGTACCCACGTGGGGAATCGAACCCGGGTCTTCGGCGTGACGAGCGAATGCTTTAACTACTAGACTCCCACTGCCCAGTGGAGAAGAGAGTAGTTGAGACAACATCGGACAACTCAATACTATCGCTCTACTTTCACTGCAATGCCATGGACAGTGGTCATGTACCGGGTACACGCATGAATATTATTCATGTTAGTAGGCGAAAACACAAGGTCAACAAGCCAAAACACATGGTTCAAAGGCAACATGACTAATAGGGTACAGCAGTAGGCTGCAAGCCTTTGGTCTCAGATTACATGATCAATAGGCTAAAAAAAACATGGTTCATAGGCTATATCACAAGGTCGTCAATAGGCTACAAGCAAGACATGGCCCGTAGGTTTCAACACATGTTTGACAAGAAAGAACACATGCAAGGTCCATAAGCTACAACAAAAGGATCACAGACTTCTACACATGGGTGACAGGTAACCACGCTATCCCGCGGTGACGGAAAGACGCGATCTGATTGGTTGACGGGCGATCGGTCGGAACTATGCATATCAAACAGTGTTCAGACTAAACGTCGTTCTATGCTCATGATCACATGAGTGTCTGGTCCAGATTCGATTACTTACAAACCATCTCAAAATAACTCTTATTTCCTAATCGACACCATACATCGTTTAGCAGTATGATCGTCACGCCTCCTCCATGTATTCCGACAATCTATTATCAATGTATACTTACACGTGGTATATATCGGATAAGGTCACTGATATTTAGAGTCATCGACTCATCGTTTATTTTCCTTTTTGACATATACCATATGTAGCCCTGTCATTTCATCTCACCAACAGACTTGCTCAGATATAATTGGTATTCAACAATCAAATTTGCTTTTAGTGCAAATTTCTTACTAATATTGAAAGGCTTTTGACGTTTAGTGACCGTTCATTATTTATGGCTAGCGGGGGTGATGATGATTTTTATGGAGAAGCATGTATACAATGTGACTTCCCGAAATGTATGTACAAAGTAAGTGATCCCCACCCCCACCCCTTGCATGTGATGTACAAAATCAATGATTGTCTGATAAGCAAACGTGAAAAAACATACATATGTTAACTAATAAATATGAATAACTGCCCCCTAGATTGCGTCAGTGAGAGTGTGACTGTTCAACGTCATAGCAAATTATACCTTGAAGCCGTAGTAATGATAAGCGAAGGCCTTATCCCTTGATAAGGGAAATTGAATACCTGGATGTTTGAGTACATGTATTGACACCAATAGCATACATGCCGCCAATAAACAGTCATATAGTGGTGAATAGTATACTACTCACACCTTGCTAAGGATCACAAAAATTCCCAACTTTACTTAAACGTAGATTTATAATTTTAAATTGTATCCTTAAAACTGGATAAATAATAATATGGTAACCTTTCTTCAGGCAAACAGCCACTTTAATCTAACTTCATGCACTTGATACATGAGTAACCATAAAAATGGTTTTAATGGCACCAAACAACCATTTTGTAAATCATGGCACGGATCACTGATAAGTACACAACACCTGTCAATAGCAGGTATGGGATCCACAAGATGCAATGACATACTGAAACCTAGGATCCATGCTTACAATAAGCTTGGATATTTAAACCAAATTAGACCCTACATCATAGTTTTCTGTTGAATCAATTATTTGATCCTTAGCAAAGTGTGAATAGTATATCAATGCACAACTGAAAATCAGAGATGACACCAGGTGTTAGCGCCACTCACACAATACACACAAGAAAGTAATTTAAGTGCGTCTAAGAACTGTCTGATCTTGTGTACGAAATTGTTTTTACCGTTATATTTCTTACGCTTGTAATCTGACTTAGAGTTTACTGATTAAACCTTATTTACTGTCAGTTTGGGCCCTAATGGGAATCAAGACAGAGTATAGAGCTAAATACATGATTGATCGTTATACATGTATATCCAATACAACCCATTCAAAAATGTTCAAGTCTGGGCATAATATGTGATTAGGCTTGTAGTCTCCGGTTTCTGAAAATGAAGAAAGTCTCTGTGCTTCTTGTTGTTATGTTTTACCGAAATAATTTAAGAACTGGGATTTTTGTTCATTAAAATATTTTCATTTCAGACATGAGATGTTAATCTAGTTGTCGGTCTACAACGAAGTATCGATCGATCCATTTATGGGATGCGTGCACTTCCCAAGCTCTACATCAGCGCGTGTTACCGTTTCTTCCACGCTATCAATGCGAGGAGCTTGCCTCAGCCAATGATAATGCCCGTCCCCAGTGACGCGCCTAGCGACCGCTATTATCCACGAGGATTCTATAAGGAAAGGATTAGGGAGTCGTAAGGGCGCAAAAATCAAACATGGCTCAGGCAGATCAGCGCATGGAACCGCCTAAATCCTGCCAAGCGTCGACAGAAGCATCGCTTCAAAGATTTACACGTGGACCACGGTAGGTATTTCCGTGAATACGATTTTAAATGAATTAAACTTTGTGAGTGTGAACATTCTGCGCAGTCCCGCTAACATGATCATGGACTGGTAACCATTCTTCTCCCTATGATCTGTGTCCGAAACATCAACATCTGTGGGAGCGGCGGGGTAGCCTAATAGTTAAAGCGTTGGCTCGTCACGCCGAAGACCCGGGTTCGAATCCCCACATGGGTACAATGTGTGAAGCCCATTTCTGGTGTCCCCCGCCGTGATGTTGCTGGAATATTGCTAAAATCGGCGTAAAAACAAAATCAGTCAGTCAGTCAACATCTGTGTCACTGAGGAACAATTAGGACCAACACTATATAGATACAGTTGATGATCAGAAAACATACTGATGGAGATTTAGAAAGACATAGATAAGAAGTAAACATTCTGACATGTAGGGTTTTAGCGGCTGACAAAATTCATAGTTTTTGTGACATTCATCAAGATCTTTATCAGTTTAATCTGGAAAAAAGTCCAAAAGTAGATCTAGCAGGATATTTTGACCCTGACCGACAAAAAGTCGATGTCTGAGACAGTGTTGACTGTATGTCTAGCTTATTGTTTGTTGATATATACTCGCTATAACTATATAGATCTATATCTTAGTACTAACTTAGTAAGTATTAGTTCATATGAATAAACTCGTATTCCAGCCAAGTATAGTGCAAAGACGTCTAGTTATATGCTGGATTTAGTAAGTATCAGCTTCAGTAGTTTTAGTTTTGTGCAAGTAGGCCCACAGTTGAATAGGTTCCCAGAACCGCCTCTGCGTGATTCTCCAAAGAAACTTTAGACGACTGAGTGGTCTTTTTGTTATTATGTGTCATTGTAACTCAGATTTGATTGGTGCTCATGTTTTCAACCACTGTTTTCCTGTCCCTCCCTGATTATATACAGGCGATGATATGAGGTCAGAGGGATTTCCCTTCTAGTGTAGATGTTTAACAAAACAGATGGCAAACATCTGTGGTATGTTGGCATGATTTAATATTAAATAAGCTGAGTATTTGATGGTCATTATAGATGTATTATCCGTATTATCAATAAACACAGTTTGTCAAAGCAAATATATATTGTGAAGTTTTGAGTTCATAAATAAACATATATTCAGACTAGTGGCCATGTCTAACCCTATCTATGTTAAAGATCCTCCATATACTAAGACTTCTTTTATTCACTTAAATTATGCAAATAGACCTCCCATCCTGTAGATCAACACTGTTTAAGCTGACAACTTATCAAATTTATTCTTTGTGAACCACCAACAGCAGTTACTTCTCTTTGACCACAATTGTTGTTTTATGAATTAGAGGTAAAAGAAATTGTGCAAAAACAAACCAAAAGTGATGGTCTTTTGTTTAAATATAATGTCCAATGGGTCATTGGGATAGTTTTGTACAACAAAACGCTACATCCATGTGTACTAGTGAAACATTAAATATGCTTAAGACTCTACTTGTGTTGAAAACTTTAGAACATATGATTGAATTTTAACCCAGAGGATTAACTGAATTAGAATGGTCCTGTTAATGAGCAACCAAGCTATAAATGTAATGATAAACTGATGTGTCAAGTAGTTTAGTAAGATTATGATATACTTCCAGGTGTATGGATGTCCTCCATCACATTCTGACAGACTATGCCAAAGTGGAGAAGAAAATTAGCCAGATCTACAATGAGTTTGATGATAAGTGGAAGACAAGAGCCCTTACTCAGATTGGTAAGCCATGAGTTTTTGAGTTTTGTGTCAAGAATCTAATATTGTTTTCTGCAGATTTGTTTGGTTCTTTGTTTGTCAGTCTTGTCCATCCCAGAATCATCTCCAGCAGGGCTGTGCCATGGAAATAGTTGAGGGGCTGGCACCCAACTTCAGATCCCTCCTAAACCCCCCCCTCACCTCCTCCTCCAGCTTTTCAGTCATCCTCCTATCACATGCTTGTTTGATTGTTTCTGTGTACATGTGTCCTGAGAATCTGTATATTGGTATACTGGTACAGGGCTCGATTTAGTGCTTTGTTACTTGCACTGGTGCAACCCAATATTACAAAGTGCAACCTAGTTATTAGTCTAACTTGCACCAGGCGCAAGTCAATTTTTGAGTGGGTAAACTTCTGAATAAAACATCTAAATAATTCAATAGCATATTTCTGATATTACATATTGCAATACAAACAGTGCAACTGGAATTTGACTAGTGCAACTAGGTTTTTATCTTAGGTTGCACCTGGTGCAAGTAGGTTCAAATCTCTTAAATCGAGCCCTGTGGTATTATTGTGTACATGTGAAAGGAGAATCTGTATACTGGTATCTGTGTACAAAACAGGCAGCAACTTGGTGTACGATGAGGTGAATGCTGTCATTGATGTCTGGATGGCATCCATGAAGGAAAAAGAGGATCTCCATTCCCAATATTTAACCCAGATGTATGCAAACAACGGACCCCTTAGGACCCTTCAAAGGTAAGTATATTGTAACTGTAATGGATGGAATATGATCAAGGTCATATTGGCACAACAGAACTTTGGTTAATTCTCCAGATACTATTATGTTGTGTGTATATTGCAATACATTTCAACATGGCCTAGAGCTTCCTATGAGGTTTTAACTATTGGTAAGAAAGCTGTCAGCTCTTGCAGCTATTCACAAGTTCAGCTTTTGAAACTATTAAGCCCAACTTTAGCCCATGGCTCCAGAAAAAATTGAGTCTTTGATTATTTACTACTTGTAATCATCACCATTGGGTGTCATAGTTTTCTTTGGCTATTCAGGATATTTACTCAATTTGATCCAGCCTGTAGGGTTTTTGGATACTAATGAATAGACATTTTCTATAGAGAATCTGCCTAATTCTGTCTCTACGATAGACTGACAAAATTAAGAACGACTCATGGATGCATGACCATCTTCATCCCAGCTACATCAGCTCAGAAGATGTTAATGCTATAAGGAAGGCCACTCAGCATCTCTATGAAAGGGCAAAGAAGAGACAGATGAAACAGGAGAAGGAGATTGATCAGCTCAAAGAGGTGAGTATCTTTACAAATTATGAAATAAACCAGGAGCTTCAAGGAGTTCTTGTCATTGCCCCAACAGTTTCAGTATAACTGGGTGCCTAGATTCAAATGTTACAGTCAACTTAAAGTACCCAAAGGGTTATCAGTGTTCACAGTTTGAGCACAAATGAAATCCCCAATTTGATTGTGATAACAGTGGTTTAATTCTATCAGTATCAGGAATAGTATGAAGTAGGGGGAGCAGGTAATCTACTCACATATATATATGTATCATAAGCAGAGGTTTAACATGTCCAGTGTGAGATATGTACTGAAGGTTGCAGCTGGCACAATACACCATCATTTTGATATGATAAGTATCACTGTATAAACCTTTTGATTCAGTATATTTCATTTCAATACACAAAGAGCATAAGAAAAATGAGAAACAATATTTTGGCAAACAAATGTCTATTTTGTAACAAAAATAAGCAAATGATAAACTGTCAATCCTTTACTAGAAATAACAATTTGCTGAGCATAAATACTTTACCAGCCAAGAGGTTTGTATTATCAGACAGTTTGATATGTCAATACCTGACTGAATCACAATAAACTACTGAATCGAAAACTGAACTGATGGTAAATAATACTAAAAATCAAGGTAATATTGGTCCCCAGTTTCCCATTATTTGTATATTCCTTCTATTAGACTAGTGAAAATTGTATGAAGGTGTTTATATTTACAATCATGTCATTACATCAACCTGTTCATATAGACAGCCGGCCATTAGTGTTTGTGTGACATATAGAGGTGTGACGATACAGAAATTTTACGATATGATACGTATCGCGATATCATAGGACGATACGATTCGATACGATGCATGTCCCGATATGCTATCTTTAGTTATTTTCTTTAAAAAAGTTTACCTTGATAACAAGAAACAGTGTAAATTTTGACATAACCGTCAATTTCTGGTGAAAATTCACAATTTAAAGGTCAACGATACATATCACGATACGGAAAAAAGTATCGATATATTTATTGTCAGAAAAAGTATCACGATTATCGATACTACGATATATTGTCACAACTCTAGTGACATATCATTCTGTATAATATATATTATTTTCATGAAGAATAGTCTCCAGTTTTGCTTGCTTTGTATTGATTTTAGGGGTGCCCAGATTTCTATACTATAGCAGGGATCATTCAGATCCAGCACCCCATACATCGAACAGTCCAGTGAGACAAGATCAGTCTCTTTCATGCATGGTGAAAATTGACGACACACTCTGACTGTTACTGTATTGATAGTACCTCAAAACTCAGATTCACACTGAAAACAGAAATGTTCTTTTCTCAGTGCTTCCTTGGTTTACAGGACCTTTTCCTGGCCAAAGACAAGATGGTTCAGTTCAAACCACAGATGGATGCAGCAGACGTCAATCCTGACCCCCACACCAACTTCAGAGAACTCTTGGGCTACTGGCGGAAACTGGAGGGTGATGCTGACGGGGCCAGGAAATCCTACAGACAAAAACTGCAAGAGGAAAACTCAACACGAACGACTTTCATTGAAGTAGGGACATCAAATATCTACTCTTTCATGCTTTACGATCATGTAACTATACAGACGATATGTACCCGTGAAGATCCGGGTTAGAATCGGTCTTCAGCAACCCATGCTTGTCGTAAGAGGCGATTAACAGGTGGTCAGACTTGGTTGACATATGTTATCATATCCCAATTGTGTAGATCAGTGCTCATGCCAATGATCACTGGATTGCTTGGTCCACACTCTATTATTTACAGACCACCGTCATATAGCTGGAATACTGCTGAGTGCTCCGTTAAACAACAACCAAACCTTTAATACATAGGTGGATGTTTGCCATTGCTTGACTGTGATGTTTTCTTGAATAATCGCTTTGTATACTAAGGTTCAAAATGAAAAGTGTTCATAGTCCATGGATATATCAACTGACAAACATTATATACCTGAGTGAGGTAAATGAACCTTTAGCTAAAGCTGTGGTCGAGAAGTCTGGAGTTGTGCCACATCAAACAATGAGGTGTCTGGGTGAGCAGGGATCAACAGTTTTTGATCATAATATTAGAGTCATATGATCACTTTCAGATTTATTATAACTAATGTGCATATTTATGTGCTGTGAAAAGTATGTTCTCCAACATTTCAGCATATGGAAACATTCCAGAAGGATTCAGATGCTTATGAGAGGACTCGCCTTGAGAACGTGCAGAATGTGATGATGTTGATGATACAAAGCAGCAAAACAATAGAGCTCAACAGGTAGGTACTTTTAGAATTTAGCATACATATTGTTTTGGTTGTCACTCATCGAGATGTTACAGCATACAGTGCTAAACACCATTAAATTTCAAGGTTAGGATGTCATCATTAGGGTGACTCCACTTGTGGTGGTCCGATTAATTGAAATTATCGAAGATTGGTCGCAATGACTAAACGACCAAGCAATCGATCTTGTTTTCTCATAATCAAAATCAAACAATTCTGGAACACTTGTTTGCGTTAACAATATTTTTCACAAGGTTGGTTTTGTCTGTTACATTTCATCAGCGCTACAAGCTTGTTTTAAGTCATGATTGAAGTTGTCTTGAAGACTTCAGGAAATTTATGTTCCTAACATACTAGTCACCCTTTAAAGATTGCATTTTGTGCAATCTGCAAAAGATACACGAAAAACTACATGTTTTTCTTTCTTTTGGGGTTGTATTAACAAACAACCAGGAAAATTTCATAAATAACGCTAACCAATTATCTTCGATGATTGATTAGTTGTAATGAACCAATTATCAATTATGAAATTTTAACCAATTCCCAACGCTAGGCTCCACACCCTGCTACACTTGCATACTATGGAATGCCTGAAATCAGATACAGAGAACATTGAATTATTTGTTAATTCAAACCTGATGACAAATTGTTGTCACTCCAGGAATGAAGTGCTGGAGCAGTTATTTGACAAAGGAATCTCTCGCCTCAAGAAGTACAACTTACAGAAAGAGATTGATCTCTACAATGTGTTCTATGTGTATCAACACAAGTTCCCCAAGGAAGAGGTGAGTGGAGCAGCATGGCTGCTGTGTTGTGTATGTTGGTAAACACATTATAAACCTCCAGTGACGTTACTCTGTTGTCTCGCCAGGTTCTCCTTTTACCGAGTAAACTTCTACAGGCAGTTTCCCAGGTATTCTCCATGACATCACGTGGATTTTCTACAGAATTGCCCGCATCCTGGGGATTTTCTGAGGAATAGTCCTTGACTTTGAATTATTAATTGTTTCGAAGATTTATCTATGTGTTGTTATCACTGAGTACGATATCACATTGTTAAAAACTTTCAATAAATAATGCCAATATCTGGTTTCGATCCTGCAACCCTTTGCATATTATCTTGGTGGTTTTATCCACTAGGCTACGAAGGATCGCTGTGAAGAATGAGATTGTTAGTCAGTATGAACCATGTGTTCCTCACAAGACAGGTAGTGCAGGCAGCACACGGCAGGACACAGGTAGTGCGTGCAGAGCATGTGCATTGAGCGTGCATTGAGCATGCAAGGCAAGGTGTCGGCTGCCAGTCGCATCCCAGTTGATTTCAACAGTGAATACCAAATATCAAAATTATATCTAAAGTATATCTTCGGTTGGTTCATAAGTTGGATCAAAACCTCCTCCTAGGTTTTGATCCTTTACATGACTGACTGACTGAGTTTAGTTTTACGCCGCTTTTAGCAATATTCCAGCAATATCACGGCAGGGGACACCTGAAATGGGCTTACCACATTGTGCCCATGTGGGGAATCGAACCCGGGTCTTCGGCGTGACGAGCCAACGCTTTAACCACTAGGCTACCCCACCGCCCTCCTTTACATGAAGGATGAGGCTAAGGGATGTGGGGATGATGAATTTGTTTAGGGTAATGTTTTGAAGGATAAAGGTGGTATTTGTGTGTGTGAGAAATTTGGCTTGTGAGTGTTTTATTTTGAAGGACAGGCGTGTGTGTGTTTGTTTGAGGCGTTTTGTTCATAAGAGTAGCATTAGGAAGGATAGTGGTGGCTTGTGAGAGTCAGAAGTGTTGTACATCTGGGGAAATAGTTGAATGATGGGGTTTGGGGGCTGGGCACAGTGAAACATGTTGATGGATGGGATGGGGGTTGTGTGTCTGGTGAAACATATTGAAGGATGGGTGTGCAGGGTGGGTTTGCGACGCGTAAATGTGTGTCCAGTATCCACAAATATAGAGAATGGACGAAGAAAAAAATTCACTTTTTCGTCCTGAGGGAAGCACAGTATTATTCATTGTACCGACATTTGTGACACTTCATTTCATCCACCAGTCTATATGATCAATGATTCATTCCAGACTCATCAAATTATCAAAATGTACAGTTCTCTACACTCTTACTTCACAGGACCCGATAAAACTAATAATTGGGGGTCCCCAGGACCTTATGAGTCGAGGTAAAACCCTGGGTATGGGTGTTGTGTATCAGGATTAACCTCAGTATGACGTGTACATATTTTGTACTGATACAGCCTCACCCATCTGAAGTGTTGCCCAAGAAGAAGGCAGAGGATGAGGAGTCATCTCAGGAGACAGCTAAAGTGGACCAATCTGTTGAGATCGACATTGTGTAAGTTCCTTCTCTCACAATTATAGTATGTATCATGATTATAATGATGATAAACACTTATGATGAACAACTAGTTCTGTGGCATAAAAGTATTGGATTTGCTACAGAAAGGATTTTTACAAATTTATTCCAAGAGTGTGGGTATCTGTATTTCAAATGGGATCTCCAGACAAAGATGTGTGTGAGGTGTTCAGACAGTCATGTGAGTTAGCTGTCCACACAGTGATGTGTGCTACCCCTCCAGACAGTGATGTCTGTTAGCTATCCAGAATGTGATGTGTCAGCTAAACAGTGATGTGTGTTAGCTCTCCAGACAAAGATGTGTGTGAGGTCTTCAGACAGTCATGTGTGTTAGCTCTCTAGACAGTGATGTGTGTTTGCTCTCTAGACAGTGATGTGTCAGCTCTCCAGTAATGTCTGTTAGCTCTCGAGACAGTGATGTGTGTTAGCTGTCCACACAGTGATGTGTGATGTATGTTATCTCTCCAGTGAGTCAGACAGTGATGTGTGTTAGCTCTCCAGACAGTGATGATGTGTCAGCATCAGACAGTGATGTGTGTTAGCTCTCCAGACAAAGATGTGTGTGAGGTCTTCAGACAGTCATGTGTGTTAGCTCTCCAGACAGTGATGTGTGTTACGCCATCAGACAGTGATGTCTGTTAGCTCTCCAGACAAAGATGTGTGTTAGCTCTTCAGACAGTGATGTGTGTTAGCTGTCCACACAGTGATGTGTGTTAGCTCTCCAGACAGTGATGTCTGTTAGCTCTCCAGACAGTGATGTGTGTTAGCTGTTCAGACAGTGATGTCTGTTAGCTCTCCACACAGTGATGTGTGCTACGCCTCCAGACAGTGATGTCTGTTAGCTCTCCAGACAAAGATGTGTGTGAGGTGTTCAGACAGTCATGTGTGTTAGCTGTCCACACAGTGATGTGTGCTACCCCTCCAGACAGTGATATCTGTTAGCTCTCCAGACAATGATGTGTGTGAGGTGTTCAGACAGTCATGTGTGTTAGCTGTCCACACAGTGATGTGTGCTTCCCCTCCAGACAGTGATGTGTGTCAGCTTTCCAGACAAAGATGTGTGTGAGGTCTTCAGACAGTCATGTGTGTTAGCTCTCTAGACAATGATGTGTGTTTGCTCTCCAGACAGTGATGTGTGTCAGCTCTCCAGTAATGTCTGTTAGCTCTCCAGACAGTGATGTGTGTTAGCTGTCCACACAGTGATGTCAGTGATGTATGTTAGCTCTCCAGTGATGTGTGTTAGCTCTCCAGACAGTGATGTCTGTTAGCTCTCCAGACAGTGATGTATGTTAGCTCTCCAGTGATGTGTGTTAGCTAACCAGCCAGTGATGTGTTAGCTCTCCAGACAGTGATGTATGGCAGCTCTCCAGACAGTTGTCTGTTAGCTGTCCACACAGTGATGTGTGTTACCTCTCCAGTGATGTGTGTTAGCTAACCAGCCAGTCATGTGTTAGCTCTCCAGACAGTGATGTGTGGCAGCTCTCCAGACAGTGATGTCTGTTAGCTCTCCAGTGATGTGTGTTAGCTAACCAGCCAGTGATGTGTGTTAGCTCTCCAGACAGTGATGTCTGTTAGCTCTCCACACAGTGATGTGTGTTAGCTGTCCAGTGATGTCTGTTAGCTCTTCACATAGTGATGTGCGTTAGCTCTGCAGACAGTGATGTCTGTTAGCTCTCCACACAGTGATGTGTGTTACCTCTCGAGTGATGTCTGTTAGCTCTTCAGACAGTGATGTGTGTTAGCTCTCCAGTGATGTTTGTTAGCTCTTCAGACAGTGATATCTGTTAGCTCTCCAGACAATGATGTCTGTTAGCTGTCCACACAGTGATGTGTACTAGCTCTCAAGACAGTGATGCGTGTGTGTTTCAGCCAAGTGCTGCCAGCCAAAGACAACACGACCATGTTTGTGCAGACCACAGTGGATCCTGCAACTGAGACGAAACCAAGTGAGTTTTATATTCTTTAGTGCACAATGAAACTTAGTTATTCCATCTGTTCCAGAAATTCTATTCAAAATAATCTCTCTCTCGTCAGGTCATGCTAGGTCTCCATTCAGTGATGTGTGTGCATGGATGTGTTTTGTGTGGAATATGTGTTGAACATGTCCTGTGTGTCCTGGATGGAGAGAACAACTTGGTAGACTGACTGACAGCCATGTCCTGGTGTATTGTGTGTCCTGGTACTCTGGTGGGAGAACACCTTGGTAGACTGACTGACAGCCATGTCCTGGTGTAGTGTGTGTCCTGGTGTACCTTGGTAGACTGTGTGTCCTGGTGTACTGTGTGTCCTGGTACCCTGGTGGGAGAACACCTTGGTGGGACTGACAACACCTTGGTAGACTGACTGACAGCCATGCCCTGGTGTATTGACTGTGTCCTGGGTACCTGGTACTCTGGGGAGAACACCTTGGTAGACTGACTGACAGCCATGTCCTGGTGGGTATTGTGTGTCCTGGTACCCTGATGGGAGAACACCTTGGTAGACTGACTGACAGCCATGTCCTGGTGTATTGTGTGTCCTGGTACCCTGGTGGGAGAACACCTTGGTAGACTGACTGACAGCCATGTCCTGGTGTATTGTGTGTCCTGGTACCCTGGTGGGAGAACACCTTGGTAGACTGACTGACAGCCATGTCCTGGTGTATTGTGTGTCCTGGTACCCTGATGGGAGAACACCTTGGTAGACTGACTGACAGCCATGTCCTGGTGTATTGTGTGTCCTGGTACCCTGATGGGAGAACACCTTGGTAGACTGACTGACAGCCATGTCCTGGTGTATTGTGTGTCCTGGTACCCTGGTGGGAGAACACCTTGGTAGACTGACTGACAGCCATGTCCTGGTGTACTGTGTGTCCTGGTACCCTGGTGGGAGAACACCTTGGTAGACTGACTGACAGCCATGTCCTGGTGTATTGTGTGTCCTGGTACCCTGGTGGGAGAACACCTTGGTAGACTGACTGACAGCCATGTCCTGGTGTACTGTGTGTCCTGGTACCCTGGTGGGAGAACACCTTGGTAGACTGACTGACAGCCATGTCCTGGTATATTGTGTGTCCTGGTACTCTGATGGGAGAAAACCCTGGTAGACTGACTGACAGCCATGTCCTGGTGTACTGTGTGTCCTGGTACTCTGGTGGGAGAACACCTTGGTAGACTGACTGGCAGCCATGTCCTGGTGTACTGTGTGTCCTGGTACCCTGTTGGGAGAACACCTTGGTAGACTGACTGACAGCCATGTCCTGGTGTACTGTGTGTCCTGGTACCCTGGTGGGAGAACACCTTGGTTGGTTGACTGACAGCCATGCCCTGGTGTATTGTGTGTCCTGTAACCCTGATAGGAGAACACCTTGGTAGACTGACTGACAGCCATGTCCTGGTGTATTGTGTGTCCTGGTACCCTGTTGGGAGAACACCTTGGTAGACTGACTGACAGCCATGTCCTGGTGTATTGTGTGTCCTGGTACCCTGTTGGGAGAACACCTTGGTAGACTGACTGACAGCCATGTCCTGGTGTATTGTGTGTCCTGGTACCCTGTTGGGAGAACACCTTGGTAGACTGACTGACAGCCATGTCCTGGTGTACTGTGTGTCCTGGTACCCTGATGGGAGAACACCTTGGTAGACTGACTGACAGCCATGTCCTGGTGTATTGTGTGTCCTGGTACCCTGTTGGGAGAACACCTTGGTAGACTGACTGACAGCCATGTCCTGGTGTATTGTGTGTCCTGGTACCCTGGTGGGAGAACACCTTGGTAGACTGACTGACAGCCATGTCCTGGTGTATTGTGTGTCCTGGTACCCTGGTGGGAGAACACCTTGGTAGACTGACTGACAGCCATGTCCTGGTGTATTGTGTGTCCTGGTACCCTGGTGGGAGAACACCTTGGTAGACTGACTGACAGCCATGTCCTGGTGTACTGTGTGTCCTGGTACCCTGGTGGGAGAACACCTTGGTAGACTGACTGACAGCCATGTCCTGGTATATTGTGTGTCCTGGTACCTCTGATGGGAGAACACCTTGGTAGACTGACTGACAGCAGCCATGTCCTGGTGTACTGTGTGTCCTGGTACCTGGTGGGAGAACACCTTGGTAGACTGACTGACAGCCATGTCCTGGTGTACTGTGTGTCCTGGTACCCTGTTGGGAGAACACCTTGGTAGACTGACTGACAGCCATGTCCTGGTGTACTGTGTGTCCTGGTACCCTGGTGGGAGAACACCTTGGTAGACTGACTGACAGCCATGTCCTGGTGTACTGTGTGTCCTGGTACCCCTGATGGGAGAACACCTTTGGTAGACTGACTGACAGCCATGTCCTGGTGTATTGTGTGTCCTGGTACCCTGATGGGAGAACACCTTGGTAGACTGACTGACAGCCATGTCCTGGTGTATTGTGTGTCCTGGTACCCTGGTGGGAGAACACCTTGGTAGACTGACTGACAGCCATGTCCTGGTGTATTGTGTGTCCTGGTACCCTGTTGGGAGAACAGCTTGGTAGACTGACTGACAGCCATGTCCTGGTGTACTGTGTGTCCTGGTACCCTGATGGGAGAACACCTTGGTAGACTGACTGACAGCCATGTCCTGGTGTAGTGTGTGTCCTGGTACCCTGATGGGAGAACACCTTGGTAGACTGACTGACAGCCATGTCCTGGTGTATTGTGTGTCCTGGTACCCTGTTGGGAGAACACCTTGGTAGACTGACTGACAGCCATGTCCTGGTGTATTGTGTGTCCTGGTACCCTGTTGGGAGAACACCTTGGTAGACTGACTGACAGCCATGTCCTGGTGTGCTGTGTGTCCTGGTACTCTGATGGGAGAACACCTTGGTAGACTGACTGACAGCCATGACCTGGTGTACTGTGTGTCCTGGTACTCTGATGGGAGAACACCTTGGTAGACTGACTGACAGACATGTCCTGGTGTAATGTGTGTCCTGGTACCTTACAGCAAACCAACCATGTTAGCAGACTGAATGTTTTGCTCCTTGTCTATGTATAGACAAAGTAACTCTTGCGTCATATTATAAAATTTGATCATATTCTGTTATTTAGTTTTCCGAAAAATACATTGGATTATGGAGAATGTTCCAGAATGAACTTCATTCCTTAAGGGAATCCTGTATGGGTTGAATTCACTGTGCATAGTTGTCTCCCTTTGTCATGCTCGGATCTGCAAATTGTGGGTTTGAATTTCAGATTTGACTGATTATGATCAGTTGGCAACATGTCTCTGCTTATGAAGCCTGTATGCATCTCTGTGAACCTTTCTCACTCTCTAATGTGTGATGCTGTGATAGGACTGAATAATGTTAGCTTACCAAATTTTCTTCCAGAGGCAACAAGATATTCCCGTCATGTGGCATTGACCACCCCAAATCCACAAGATGTCCGCTACCTGCCTGATGTGGAGATTCCAAATGTGGTAACAGAGAGGAGACAGACGGCTGCTCCCATCATGAAGGAGACAACCGTGGAATGTGATAAAGGCCTCTGTAAGTGCAGCTGTTGGATCAGGAGTAGAATATACACTTTGTCTTGGATGAACTAGTAAAGGCCTCTGTAAGTGCAGCTGTTGGATCATGAGTACAATATACACTTTGTGTTGGATGAGCTGGTAAAGGCCTCTGTAAGTGCAGCTGTTATATCATGAGTAGAATAAGCACTTTGAGTTGGATGAAAATTACTATAATCTGTACTTTACTGAGAAAGTGCAATCCCAAATATATATAACATAGACCACTTTCTAAAACAGCTTTGTGTACATAAAACAGGAACTATTTCAGTCTTTGTAAAAAGGCTAGGAGGTTCAGAAATGTACTTGTTATGTCAGTAAACCTGAAATGAATTAATTCTTCTTTCAGCGGGTTCTGACTCTGACTCTGACTCTGATGAGGACCAGTCACAAAGGCAGGCCAAAGCCTCTGATATTAGAAACATCGCACAAGGACAGAAGGTCAAGGTGTATGCTGTCAAGGACTTCGCTGCCCGCTCCGAGGATGAGATCTCGTTCAAAGCAGGTGTGTTTAACAAATCCACTCTACCTGTCAAAGCCCACATTCATTTAATATTGGAGTGGTGCTCATAATATCATCCACTGGTTTATGTGGTTAAACTAAATTCTGAAAATGCTGCCAGTTTTTGGCCATAATGTTACTGTGTTGTGGTTACCAAACTAAAATGGTCATAATATTCTGTCTTTTTCAGGACGTAAGATCTACGTGACTGAAGCTGCTGTTGCTGGCCGGGTGTATGGATACATCAAGAAGGGAAAGCTGGTCAAGAGGAAGGTCTACGGATACTTCCCTGAACAACTCGTCACCACAGACAAGAAGTACAAGGGCAAGCGTTCCTTCCTGAAGAAGAAGCTCTCCAAGCAGCTTCCCCATGACAGTACCAAGAACTTCATCAGCTTCATGGGAAACAGCGGGTAGACATTGCCCAGATAGCTACAGAGGATTACCCCTAATGGACTTGGCAGTGAACTCGATATTGACCTAGAACAGTGATATGACTTTGGATATTTGTGGATTTGTTTGTTACATGGATATATTTTTTACTGTTCTTATAGGAACAACGTTGTTGGATCTGTGATATTTCTTTGATAGTAGTTTATAATGAATAGTGCTGTAGAGTTGATTTTAGGATGTGATTTATTGAGAATCTTGTTACCATGGTTACATAAATATATGTAACCTTTTAAATGAGGCACACTGTGTGAAAGAATGAGATATTTGATTAGATGTGCTTCTATTTCTCCATGGATAGTTTTGGTGAGAAAGACACCTGGGTGACAACAGAACTTGAGATGTATCAACACCATATTGAAACTGTTGTTAGATTCAGTGAAATTGATTACACGCCTCTTTTATCTTAAGGTATGTTAGCCTCCAAGTCATTCCTTTGTAATCACTCTCCAGAAATTGCTAGTTGGCTGAGGATGGGTTGTGTAAAGAGGCCAGTGGTGGGGGGTTCCATGTATCAATGATGGCAGATTGAGTTCCAGTCCTGGCAAGCGGGGAATGGCAGATTGAGTCCCACTCCTGACAAGCAGGGAATGGCAGATTGAGTTCCACTCCTGTCAAGCAGGGAATGGTAGATTGAGTCACTCTCCTGTCAAGTAAGGAATGGTAGATTTAGTCAGATTGAGTTCCACTCCTCAAAGCTCAAATGGTAGATTGGGTCACACTCCTGTCAAGCAGGGAATGGCAGATTGAGTCCCACTCCTGTCAAGCAGAGAATGGCATATTGAGTTCCACTCCTGTCAAGCAGGGAATGGCAGATTGAGTCACTACTCCTGTCAAGCAGGGAATGGTAGATTGAGTCAAAGGGAATGTCAAGCAGAGAGGGAATGGCATATTGGTTCCACTCCTGTCAAGCAGGGAATGGCAGATTGGGTTCCACTCCTGTCAAGCAGGGAATGGCAGATTGAGTTCCACTCCTGTCAAGCAGGGAATGGCAGATTGAGTTCCACTCCTGTCAAGCAGGGAATGGTAGATTGGGTTCCACTCCTCTCAAGCAGGGAATGGTAGATTGAGTTCCACTCATGTCAAGCAGGGAATGGCAGATTGAGTCACGCTCCTATCAAGTAAGGAATGGTAGATTTAGTCACCCCCACCTCTCAAAGCTCAAATGGTAGATTGGGTCACTCTCCTGTCAAGTAAGGAATAGTAGATTTAGTCACCACAGCCTCTCAAAGCTCAAATGGCAGATTGAGTCACACTCATGTCAAGCAGGAAATGGCAGATTGAGTCACACCCATCTCAAGCAGGGAATGGCATATTGAGTCACGCTCCTGTCAAGCAGGGAATGGCAGATTGAGTCACTCTCCTGTCAAGCAGGGAATGGCAGATTGAGTCAAACCCATGTCAAGCAGAGAATGGCATATTGAGTCTCACTCATGTCAAGCAGGGAATGGCAGATTGTGTCACGCTCTGGTCAAGCAGGGAATGGCAGATTGTGTCACACTCCAGTCAAGCAGGGAATGGCAGATTGGGTCACGCTCTGGTCAAGCAGGCAATGGTAGTCTGAGTCACTCTCCTGTCAAGCAGGGAGTCAGACTGATTCACACTCTTGTCAAGCAGGGAATAGCAGTTTGAGTCACTTGCCTGTCAAGCAGGGAATGGCAGATTTAGTCGCACTTCTGTCAAGCAAGGAATGGCAGATTGGGTTTTGCTCCTGTCAAGCAGGGAATAGCAGATCGAGTCACTCTCCTGTCAGGCAAGGAATGGTAGATTGAGTCACTCTCCTGTTAAGCAGGGAATAGCAGATCGAGTCACTCTCCTGTCAGGCAAGGAATGGTAGATTGAGTCACTCTCCTGTTAAGCAGGGAATAGCAGATCGAGTCACTCTCCTGTCAGGCAAGGAATGGTAGATTGAGTCACTCTCCTGTCAAGCAGAGAATGGCAGATTGAGTCACACTCATGTCAAGCAGGAAATGGCAGATTGAGTCACACTCCTGTCAAGCAGAGAATGGCAGATTGAGTCACACCCATGTCAAGTAGGAAATGGCAGATTGAGTCACACTCATGTCAAGCAGGAAATGGCAGATTGAGTCACACTCATGTCAAGCAGAGGATGGCGGATTGAGTCACACTCCTGTCAAGCAGAGAATGGCAGATTGAGTCACTGTCCTGTCAAGCAGGGAATGGCAGATTGAGTCACACTCATGTCAAGCAGGAAATGGCAGATTGAGTCACACCCATGTCAAGCAGAGAATGGCATATTGGGTCACACTCATGTCAAGCAGGAAATAGCAGATTGAGTCACACTCATGTCAAGCAGGAAATGGCAGATTGAGTCACACTTCTGTCAAGTAGAGAAAGGCAGATTGAGTCACACCTCTCCTCTCAAAGTAGAGAATGGCAGATTGACTGACCCCCTTTCAACTCTAGGTTTGGAATGACAGATTCTTCCCATCCCAAGATGATTCAATAAAATTCTAACAGCTGCTGGATGTTCCAGCATGTGAGATCAGAGGTCAACATCAAGCTCCTCCTCTGAATTGGCAGGAGTTGGTGTAGATTGTAGTCAGGTGTAGGAAGGGGTACGACGGACAGTATTTGTGACAGACGTTTTTTATTTCCCTTCGACGATATCCCATCCCCCCTCTTCTGAACCTGCCACAGTTTGCTTGAGCGATGATGATTGTTCATTGGCAGGAGCCTGGTGTTGACTGGAGGTCTCACATGTTTAGAGGATCCTGTAGCTGTAAGAATTCACATTGACCTGTCTTGGTGATGTCAAGTTCCTGGTGTTCCCAGCAATGTTGTAGTTGGATGAAGATGGGTTGTGTTTGATGTAAAGGGAGGCTTGACGCCAATATTTGACACTGTGGTCAGGATTCTGAAAGTCCAAATCCGCTGTACGCCAAGCCAGTGTTGTGCCGTTCCATATATATAAGGGTGACAGATTGAGTCACCCACTCCTCTCCAAATAGGGAATGGCAGATTGAGTCAAACCCCTGTCAACTAAGGAATGGTAGATTGAGTCACTCTCCTGTCAAGAAGGGAATGGTAGATTGAGTCACTCTCCTGTCAAGCAGGGAGTAGCAGATTGGGTCACTCTCCTGTCAAGCAGGGATGGCAGATTGAGTCACTCTCCTGTCAAGCAGGAATGGCAGATTGAGTCACCCTCCTGTCAAGCAGGGAATGGTAGATTGAGTCACTCTCCTGTCAAGCAGGGATGGCAGATTGAGTCACACTCATGTCAAGCAGGGAATGGTAGATTGAGTCACCCTCCTGTCAAGCAGGGAATGGTAGATTGAGTCACTCTCCTGTCAAGCAGGGAATGGTAGATTGAGTCACTCTCCTGTCAAGCAGGGATGGCAGATTGGGTCACTCTCCTATCAAGCAGGGATGGCAGATTGGGTCACTCTCCTGTCAAGCAGGGGATGTCAGATTGGGTCACTCTCCTGTCAAGCAGGGAGTAGCAGATTGAGTCACTCTCCTGTCAAGCAGGGATGGCAGATTGAGTCACTCTCCTGTCAAGCAGAGAATGGTAGATTGAGTCAGATTGAGTCCCCTCCTGTCAAGCAGGGAATAGCAGATTGAGTCACTCTCCTGTCAAGCAGGGAATGGCAGATTGTGTCACACTCATGTCAAGCAGGGATGGCAGATTGAGTCACTCTCCTGTCAAGCAGGGAGTATCAGATTGAGTCACACTCATGTAAAGCAGGGAATGGCAGATTGAGTCACTCTCCTGTCAAGCAGGGAATGGCAGATTGAGTCACACTCCTGTCAAGCAGGGAATGGCAGATTGAGTCACACCTCCTGTCAAGCAGGGAGTGGCAGATTGAGTCACTCTCCTGTCAAGCAGGGAATGGCAGATTGAGTCACTCTCCTGTCAAGCAGGGAGTGGCAGATTGAGTCACTCTCCTGTCAAGCAGGAAATGGCAGATTGTGTCACACCGCTGTCAAGCAGGGAATGGCAGATTGAGTCACTCTCCTGTCAAGCAGGAAATGGCAGATTGAGTCACACTCCCATCAAGCATAGAATGATAGATTTTCATGCTGCTGTCATGTAGGGAATCGCAGATTGGGTTACCCCCTCCTCTCCAGGGCACAATATCCCATCCCCCCCTCTTCTTTGGGAGGTCTGTCTTATGGTAAGATACCCTCACATGTTTAGAGGATCCTAAAGCTGTAAGAATTCACATTGACATGTCTTGGTGATGTAAAGTTTCTGATGCTCCCAGCAATTTTTATTTTGTAAATTTTGGAGTTGATTTGATAATTTTTATTTTGAGGTTATGAAAAATGATGAAAATCTCATTCTCAGCCCTTCTACCATTTTCTTGAAATGTATTTAGTACATGATACTTGATTCTAACTATTAGAAAGTCGGAAACTGACACGTTATTTTTATGTGATTTCATTGATAAAAGCGATTGTCACCCAGGTGTATAAAGAATATGAAAAAAAATGATATACCATATAACCCAAAAGTTGTTTCTCATGTATTTAATACTGTACATTTATCGATGTATTAAGAGTAGTAAACACAGATGTAATGATGTTTTTATATGTCATATTGGTTTGTTTTTTCTGGAAGCATATTCATATTCTCCCTTTTTGTGTGTGTGTAAAATACTCTAATTGAGAAATAATTGACACCATTGGCTTTTCACAATATTTAAACGTTATCTTTCAATAACTTCAAAATTTACAAGTTTTCCAAATTTAGCAATTTTGAACAAGTCAGTGTGATGATTTTTTGTCCTATATATTAATGTAAAGCAGATGAGAATGTAAAGTAAAGCTGAATATCACTAATTCATAAAATGAACATTTTTCTTTTAGCTTCAGAGTATAGTTGTCATAAAAGTACATAAATTTTGATGTTAAAAAAATCCAAATATATATCTAAACATTTTGACGGTGGTTGTGTGTGCATGTGCGTTGCTGGTGTAGGTTCCATGAATCTATTGTTTCTGATGTGAGAAGTTGTCTCTCTGGAAGATAATGTTAAGTGAGACAATGTGTTTTTTCTGGCCTGATACAGCTTTCACTGCCATTGACTGTTGAATGTTAGAAGAGGGGG